GTCCCACATACAGCAACTAGAAGGATGTGCAGCTATGACATACAACTATCTACTGGGGCTTTGGGGGGGAAAAATAAATAAATAAAATCTTTAAAAGATCCTGGGAAAGCAACTAGGGCCCATCCAAATGCCTCTTCAAAGCACCCCATTTAAGTTGCTACCTCCTTCTACATACAAGGGTTTAGGGAGACTTGAATGAATTTATTAAATGCCTACCACATTGCAAGAAACTGTGCTAAACACTATGAAGAAAAGTAATGATGCCCACATGGATCTGGTGGTTTATTCAAGAAGATAAGATATACGCATAAATTATAGCATAGAACATATACCACATGATAACCATCAATGGTATCAAGTGTCAGAAGAGTTTGGAAAGCTTAAGATATTCAAAGGCGAGTATTGAAGGAAAAGTCTACTTAATTTTGGAGGTGAAGAAAATAAGATGTCCCAATCTCCAGGCCTGGTAGTTTGGACTTCCCTAATTTGGTATTGAATTGCTGTTCCTGCAGTCTTTTATCAAGGCAGTGCCACAAACAGAGGGTGTTTCAGTCAGATTAATCCGAGGGTGGAGGGTAAATGGAGACAGCCCAGGGATAAGGAAAGCAGTTCTCAATAGAAAATGGAGGAAGCCCATATGTGCCAGGCACTGATAGTATTTTATATAATCCTAACAACAATTCAGTTATAAAACATTTTTATAGATAAGAGAAATGAGGTAATTCAACAACAGTTGGTGGCCCAAAAGCAAAAAGCTGATTGATGAAAAATTACTCAGGTTTAGGGACCTGGCAGGCAAACATGCTGGGAGGTCAGAAGGGTGAGGAAAAATCTAGGGTCCCTGTAAATAAGAATGTAGTAGAAATGACTGATGCAGAATCCCAGTTAAACACGAAGAAAAATGCAGCAACCTGAAGAGCAGTCATAAAGTAGACTTAAGAAGGAGGATGAAGAACAAATCCAATTAAGAAAGAGAAAGTGGGTAAGCTGGATGTCAAAAAGGTTGTGTTCAAAGAGGGAACCCTAACACCTCAGGAATGGAACAGCTTTAAAGTGATGAGACACAACCATCCTGGTAGACAGGGGAAGTAGACTCTGGATGTAGGTTCCCAGAGTTAAGGAAAGAGAAGAAAAGTTAGCTGAGGGTAGCATGTGGAAAAGTCTAAAATAATTATGATGGGGGACAGGATAGACAGGAAAACCGAGATTCTAATGCTGAAGTCATTAAAGTTAAGAAAAAAAAAATCTAGGGGCCAGTCCAGTGGTGTAGTGGTTAAGTTCGAGCACTCTGCTTTGGCGGCCCGGGGTTCGTGGGTTCGGATCCCAGGCGTGGACCTACGCACAGTTAAAAAATAAGCCATGCTGTGGCAGGCATCTGACATATAAAAAGTGGAGGAAGATGGGCACGGATGTTAGCCCAGAGCCAATCTTCCTCAGCAAAAAGAGAAGGATTGGCAACAGATGTCAGCTCAGGGTTAATCTTCCTCACCAAAAAAAAAAAAAAAAAAAAATCTAAAGCACTCAGAAGGCTGAAAGCAGAGAAGACGGCAGTGTAGAGAGATGACTGGTACGTCCAAGAAGAAATTTTGAAGAGTACTGATAATGAAACCACTGTCACCTGTCAGCATCAGGGAAGAACTAGGAAAAATGAGGCAGTTTTTTTTTTTTGTAACTTACTTTGAATTCAGGGAAAATTAAAGGAATTGCCTTTATTACCCTCAGCCACATCTATTATCGTTATTATTTTAAAACCAGGGTAATGGTGTTATTTCAAGGATTGAAGATGATGACTTACAAGACGCCTTCCTCATCAAGCAGAGGAAGAACCCAGGTGATTACCTGCCTCTTATGTAAAAAGACCCCAAGGACAGTCACAGGTTTTTCAACCTCATAAATATGCTGCAAGGTGTGATCTCCAAAACTACTTTCAATACAAAACAAATGGCAAAACACAACTTACTTACATTCAATGAGAATTTAATACACAATACTATGTATTGTTTGCTAACGCTGAGCTTTTCTATTTTCATGTACTTTCAATAATTTGTAAAGGTACACATAATCTTGATGATAAATCTTATGATTAAGATTATCTTGAATGAGGTCCCTCTAGATAAAACCTCATTGTAAGAATGCAATATCCAATATGTTGCTTACTTATTCTTTTTTTCTACACACACACACACACACACACACACACACACACATGTACACACACAGAGACTATACTAAAGTCAAAACAGCCTAGATTTCTACAACAGGACTCCTGATAACAAACCGGCAGTTGAAGGTGAAAGGTGGAAAAGGACCAAGTACACAACTCCTGTAACTTTCCACTTCAAAATGAAATGGAAAATTACACTTGGCTTTATTCCATTTTTCTAATTTCTACGCGATTAAAAATAAGTCTCCTAAATCACTACTTCACTTCTGAGTTCAAGTTTAATTTTACATTTCTATTAAACTTATCCATATTTTTAATAAATTAATTAAATCGTTTAATGAAATTAAAAATCCTGGTAGTTTTACCGATAGATTTATCTGTTTTGACAAATAATAGAGTATTCGATTTTAAGAGTAGTTAGTAACTTCTGCAAAATCAAATTCAGAGAAGCAGCTTAAAAGGGAAAGAATAATTTGGAGAGGAAGGGAAAGGGTTTTCTTATAGGTCATTGACTTGCTTTGTAAGTTTGTCTTACAAAATCAATGTAACTGATAACCATTTTTCTGGGAAAGGCTATTTTTAAAAAACTCATTAAATGACTAACAAAACATAAAATAGTTCTAAATTTCAAGAGTCACTTGACAGCGGGTGTGGAATTCACAGCATCAATACTAAAACATTGTCAGAAAAATGTTAATACTTTTTAGCATTTTTTTAATAGATAACTAAGTGATAAATGAAGTATTTTGTCAAAGAAAAAAATCAAGAAGTACACAACAGAGGGTTTCAATGACAGAAGAAGAAAAGGAAATCCTGGTATTTCATTCGCCCCATCATACCTGCCATGAACAGTAGTAGATTTGATAACATCCCCAGGAAGGACCACTGAGAGTTCAATGTCTTTATCTATCATGTTTTCCTTCTGTTCCATGATAAAAGCAGAGGATTCTACAGAATCATCAACTGAAGAGGCATCAAGGTATTTGGTCTCAGCTGGAGGAAGTGGTGCCTTGGCTTTTGGTTTTTTCCTAAAATAAAAACAAAACACAGAAAATAAAACATATGTATTTTAAAAGTAACTTTTGAGTAAGATCAAATTTAATAAAAACACAAAATGTGTGTATATATGATTTTCACATCTAGAAAAAAAAATGCACCAAAATGTTAACTGTTAGTATACTAGGGATGATAGAATTGAGGATTTTGGTTTTTTTTCCTTTCTTAATTGCATTTTTGTTTGTTTGTTTTTGACAGTATGCCTATATTACTTGGTAATAAAAAGAAACATGATAAAGAGATTTGATATTCACTCCAGTAGGTTCAATTAATGTGTGTTCACTACAGCAAAGCAAAAATGTAACATTTTCTTTGATGAGATAAGTTATAAAAATCCTTCCTGTCTCAGGATGGAGGTCAGAATCTCATTTCCACACTTCATAATAGCTCTTACCTTTGTGCCTTTCATTCTATTTATTTCCAATCTAGTGTGTTCTGCCTCTCTGTCCAGATAAACCCTACCTATCCTTCAAAGTCTAGCTGAAACCACCCTCTCCCCTCCCACTCACCCCCTAACACAGAGTCTTTCCCTATAGAGCACATTCAACAGATTTCACAAATGAAACATTTTTTTCTGTTTTTCCTGGGTACCAGTTTTATCTCTTTGCCGACACTTATAATTTCCTGCAAGAAAGAAGCATGCTATATTTCCTACTATGCTTAGCAATGAACAATGAACTGTGACTGGTTATTTGATAAATTACTTTTCTGTTTCAATGAAAAATGTTACAAATAATTATTCTAATAAATATGTTTCAGTGTCACTTACTAGGATGACCCCCTCAACTGATTTATAACAGAAATAGGTAGTAAACATTCTGAAAAAATTCACATGAGCCAATTCAGTGATTTGATGGGTTGAAACATGAAACATGAAAATAAATATAAAGTAACTACAAGTAATGACATATATATATTTTTTTAAAGTACTGCAAATTAGAGCTTTTGAAAATGTTACCTTTATGAAAGGCTGATTGCTTTTGGAAGAATACTACTGCTTCCTATTCAGAAAAATATAAATTTTAATTCCTCCCTCTCCCCATTTCCTAGGCAAAATAAAAACCAAACAAGATAAAAGGGCTTCTTTGTAAGTACATGTGTAACATCTAGCCATTCAGTATTTTCAAAATTTAAGGTCTCACAAATCCAAGCACATTTACACATTCAGCGTCATGAAAAAACAGAAGCAAGGTTCCTATATTGTACATTAATTTTCTACAATTATAGGCCTTTAATATTTAGGAGTAAAATTTCAGAGATAAATTGCACTTGAGAAAAGATTTTTTTTACAATAGCAACAAAAATGAAGTTTTAAAATTGCTACAATAAATATAACAAGCTTATAAAATCTATACGAAGAAAACTTGATCTAATTTCACAACATTTTTAACTTGCAGAAATTGACTACTCATGTATTCAAGAAACATTTACCCTATAACAGACAATCATGTAGCAGATTCAGCTAAACACTGGGGATGTAAAGATGATAAGATCCAGTTTCTACCCCTAAAGGGTTTATACCCCAAAAAGAACTGACAGATATACACAAAATTCCAACAAAGTTTGATAATTACTCTAACATAGTTACCCAGATGGTACAGCTAATGCTCATATAAACAAAAACTTTCTTAGGAATCCAGAAACATTTTATAGATGAGAAACATGAGCTGGTTTTGGGGGAATGAACAGAAACTCACAGGAAAAGACAAGAAATAATTGATATTTCAGGCAGAGGAAAGCAGATGGAGCCATGAAAGAAAGTGGTACTTAGAATTGAACAGTTCGGTAAAATTCCACAGAGAAGTCAAAGGAGACAAAAAATCAGTAAATCAATTAAAAAACTTTTATAAATAAGAGAATTCGCTAAGGTGGCCTGGTACAAAGTTAAACTCAAGTCAATAGTCTTTGTAAACATAAGCAAAAACTAGTCAGAAAGTATAACGAAAGAAAAAAATTCTTTTACAATAGCAACAAAAATGAATTTTAAAAGTTGTTACAATAAATATAACAAGAATTTTGCAAAATCTATAGGAAGGAAATCTTAAACACCAAATATTCAGTTTGGATCTCTCCCTTGGACTCTAGACGTAAATCCAACGCTTACTTGACATCTGGACTCAGATGACTAACTGGAATCTCCAACTTCATTTAACTTCCGATTCCTCTCCCCAGCTCCTCCAAACCAAATCTTTTCCTCTCCAAGTCTTCCCATCTCAGTAAATCACAATTCTTTCAGTTCCTTGGGCCAAAACTCCCCTCTCACACACACACTCACAATCCAAACCATCAATAAATTCTGCCAGCTCTGTATTCTATAAATAGACCCAGAATCCACCAACAACCTTGATCACCAAACACCTCTGTTCAAGCTGCTAACTGGTCTCCCTGCTCTCAACCTTGTCACTTTATATTCTATTCTCAACATAGCAGCTGGACTGATCCTCCTAAAATGTAAGTTGGATCACCACATTTCCTGTCCCACCCTTCAATGTCTTCTGACCTCACTCAAAATACGATGTAGCGTCCTATAATCTGTCCTCCCTTACCTCCAGCCTCTCCAGTCTCCTCTTTCCCCCTTTCTCCTAAGGCTCACGGCATTCCAATCCTATGACTGCCTTCTCCTTGAATACACTTCGAACAACCCTGACTCAGGACCCTCTACAGAGTTGGCTCCGGACATTAAGATAACAGCTCTATTTCTCTGCTTTACTTTTGCCTTAGGGCTTATCAGCCACTAACACACTTGTTTATCATGTCTCCCTCCATTAAAGAGTAATCCATCCCATGAGAATAGGGACTTGTCTCCACTGCCACGTGTCACACATATTTGCAAATGCATAGAATCTCCGGAACAATGCCTGTTACATAGTAGGCACTCCTATTGACTGAACGAATGAATTCAATGACTACTTCCCACAAAGATGAGGAACCTAAGTATATAACTGGGAAGGAAGAATGCTCTTACCACCAAGGAAGAAAATGAATTTTTATATCAGGATTACCTGTGTTGGATTTTTGGAAATTAATTGATTATATTTTATTTTTAAAAAGATGAGTATTGACAAATACACACTAGATTTATGAGCAAGGGATAACTGGGAACTTAGGGCTTTAAAAGAGTTTCACGGAGGAGGCCAGAAGAGAAGCCCGGCTGCCACAGGCAGAGAGGTAAGGCAGCAGGAAGAACTCTGTCCCCAGAGGACTTGGCTTTCAAGAGGAGCAGCAGTGAAGAAGGTCTAATGGGCACCTCCTGCTGCCACCAGGATCTTCCCATGCCCGCTTTCATCATTCCAGGCACCTTCCCATCTTCAAGTGGTGCTCATCATGATCTCCATTTGAACGCTGTCCTCTCTGCCTTTACACATACTATCTATCCTTCAAGGTTCAGAGTGAGTCACAATTCCTTGGGACATCTTCCCTGTCTACTGCTCACTGCAATGAACTCCTCTGACTCACAGTTTTAATGTTCTGTGTATTGTGACTGTCTCATTTCCTAAGGTACTTTGAGGCTGTGATGAAAACCCATCTTTAATTACTAAAGTTAAGCCTACTTAAAAAAGGAAAGCAGAACAAAGCATTAGTTGAAATATTATTTACATAGAACTTCTATTAAGAACATCTTAATGTTCCCTAGCATTACTTCAAATAAAAAAGCATTTGTCACCTTGGTCCTGAAAGTTGGAAAGCACATGTGAATCAGACCAAGATCCTTCCACACTGAACTAGAAATCCAATAGGGAAGACGCAATGTGTAAGTAATTAAATAACGAATGCAAAGCAAAAAAGAGGTGTCACTAAACAGACGGGTAACCTTGAAAATTCAGAGCAATGAGAACAAGCTGAAACTAGCTCTGTGGGAGTGGAGGAGCACTTCAAAGAGAAGAGACATGTGACTCAGTTCTTGAAAGGAAAGTAGAATTTAGACAGGTAGAGCCTGTAGGATCAGGTATATGTTAGTTCCCAATTGTGATCTATTTACATTAAATTTAGGAATGTGTCTATCTAGTTAAAGTTTGCTTACTACATAGTATAGTTGAGTAAAAAGAATACCAGGTAGAGGCTTGGATTTGGCTGAATCCTAAGTAGCTTTAAGACTTTGTTAACTTATTTGACCTTTTATTCACCAGCAAAATTTTTAAAATACCTTTTACCTACTCACATCTCTCCCAATATTCTTAATTTTTTGATTGAGATGCTTTGAAGCAATAATAAAATTAAATTAAATGTCACCAAAAGCCAAAGATATAGTGAAAATAATCAAAGGTTATAACTTATTTAAGTATAGGAAATTCTGGGAATGCAAAAAAAAAAAAAAAAACTAACACATGATCCTGCAATAATAACTATAACTTACTGCTTAAGAATACTAGTTTTCTTTAAGATTTTAAAATCACAGTAACTGCCATTGAACTCCCCCACCCCTGTTTAAACAGGAACGTGCAGTTTTTCTACCCAAGGGATTTTCACATAAGCTCTTCGTCACCAGCGGCCTATTTTGACTATCAGTTTCTACTCCTTGGAGGCTGCTACTCTTAACAGTAAACAAAAGCAAATTTCACACAAGGGTGAGCGGAGAGGAGGTTATACTGAAAAGATATTTGAAACAGAAAACTTCTCTAGGTCAGGGCAAAAATTCATTAATCAAGCCTTAAAAACAACAAGCCATAGTAAATTATTGCTTAAGTAAATTACTGCTTTATTCATCAAGATTATCTCAGTATTACACTCAATTTTCATAATAAAAATTAAGGTAAAATTTCACTTGATGCAATAATATATTTAAAAAAATATCAAAACAATTTTAACACAGAATTTCAATTGGCATCCTGCTATTACTACTGATTGGTCTTTTTATCATTTAATTTACAAAGCACTTCAAAATCATGTGTCCTTTGTAATCATTATCTCATCCTTGCCAATATTAATATCCTTAAAATAAATGAAAAGACGGAATAAAAGAGAAGCTCAGCAA